TTCTTGTCGGCTTGTTAAGGACAGAGCTCTTGCAAATCGACCCATGAAACACGCTGGAAGGTATAGGCATCCAAAACTGGAAATGTGTTATCATCATCCCCGCCTATACCACGCAGTCTTGCTCCAACGAATGGTGCGTTTGCAGAGAACGGAATATATGTCCTGCTAGTTACATTTATCTGTAATCAGATATCGCTACAATTTAATTTTAGTTCATTATAAGGTTGTCTGTTATCCTTTTTTTAAACTTTCCTATATGTATTTGTTTTCTATTTTCAGTTTCGTTTATGGTTATTCAACTGATTTTACGTCTTTCTGTAATATCGAAGCCAACCCAGGTCCAAATCATAATGTTTCACTTGTACATCTGAATGTAAGGAGTCTTGGCCATAAAGTTGAGTGGTGGTGGTGGGGGGGGGGGGGTGGATGGCCGAATGGTTAGTACGTGCGCGCTGTATCATAAGGCCTGTCATTGAGTCAACTGGCGTGGTTTCGAATCCCCGGTTGTACGTGACAAGGAGTAGGGCCGCCTGTCCAACCTAGTTTGTGTCGAGTGGACTTAAAACCCCATATCTCTTACTCCATAAAGTTGATATAATTAGAGCCGAACATTTTGATAATTATGATTTTATTCTCATTACAAAATCTTGGCTTGACAAAAGTATATCTTCTGATTCACTTTCTATTCCCGAATTTCACCCCATTGTAAGGAAAGACAGTGTACAGACGGACAGGAGGGGGGAGTTGCACGTTACATTCGTAACAATATTTTCTTGAAAAAAAGGCTTGACTTGGAAATCGACATGTACATTTCTTATAGGTACTTTCTATAGAGCCCCTAATTCCACGAACGATACGAATGACTCTATTTTTCAATCAATTTCACTTGCCGTTTCTGATGAAATTGAAAAGATTTTTATTTTTTGGAGATTTCAATATAGATATGCTAACAAAATTTAATACTTTTATTCATACGTCGATTGCTCTTTTTAACCTTAAGCAAATAATAAATGATCCCATGCGATATGACAACAACGGAAATATAAGTTTAATCGATATTATTCTGACAAATTGTCCAGGATATATTTCTGAATCTGGTTGTTTAGATAACTTCTGCAGTGATCATTGCCCTGTGTTCTGTCGGTTAACTTTCAAGCGTCCAAAGTTTCTTTCTTTCAAACGCGTCATTTGGGATTTCAATAAAACTAATTATGACGGACTTAGACATGACGTTCTAAATTTTAAATGGGATTCCATTGTTGATAACAGTTCGATTGATACGTCCTGATTGGCAAAACTTTGGGTCAATTAGAAATGAATATATTAATCTTATAAGAAAATGCAAACATGAATAATAATACACCATTTGGTAGTAAAGACTGGGGGTGTCTTGTCAATTCTTATGTTAAAATAAGGGCAACGTATTAAAAAGGATGAATTACCTCTCCTTATCAACAATGGAATCCTTTTTTCCACACCCTTGGATGGGGCAAATTGCTTAAATGACTTCTTTATCAACCAGCCACAACTTGACCCTTCTGAATGCGGTAATTACAGACCAGATTCCCTTTTGAGCACCATTGTTTAAATTTTCGAAAAATGTATTTACAAGCATGTCTTTAACTTCATGAGGAATAATGCAATCATAACTAACTTACAAAGCGGTTTTATGTACGGTGACGCAATTACCTATCAACTAACTGACCTTACGCACTTCTTTTGTTAAGCCATAGACGAGGGTCAGTACACGAGGACGGTGTTCTGTGACATCAGCAAGGCATTCCACAGGGTATGGCATGCTACACTGTGTCAGAAGCTTGGGGCGGCTGGAAACAGAGGAGACTTGCTTCAATGGTTCAAAAATTATTTGTATAACAGAAAGCAAAGCGTAATTGTAAGTGGAGTCTCCTCTGATCCCAAGACCGTCCCTGCTGGTTTATTACAGGGCTCTGTCCTCGGCCCCCTTGCCTTTCTTATATATATTGGACGATATCTTTAAGAACATAAAATCGAATATTCGACTTTTTGCCGATGACAGTATAGTATCTATCTAAAAATTAATGACCCAACCGCATGCCCGACTGTCTTAAAATAGTGATCTTGTAATGTTAAACAAATACGCAAATGGTTTCCTTTAACCCGCTGAAAACTGAATCACATGCACTGACAAACGAGACCCACAGCTACACTAAATTTGGACGGAATTCCTATTAAAGAAGATTATCAACACAAACATTTGAGATTGACTTTTCAGAAAAACTGTAAATGGGACAAACACGTGAACATTATTTTGACTAAAACGAGTAAAATGATTAATTGTCTTAGGTCTTTAAAACACCACCTTAATAGAAATACCTTGAAAACTATATATACCTCTTTTATTCTTCCACATTTTGACTATTGTGACGTAATATGGGATGGGTGCACAGACGAACTAAAAAAAAATAGAACAAATACAACTATATGCACTCAGGACTATATGCGGGACTGTAAAGGGTACCAACCATAGGTTATTCTATGAAGAAACTCTGCAAGAGAGGCGAAGGCGTCACAAACTCATCTTAATGTACAAAATTATTAATAAGCTACCCCCCCCCCCCCCATAATTCCACAATTTAATTCAGTTTTCCAAAACTCCTTATAATCTTTGCATTAGCAATAATTTAACTGATTACTTTTGTCGAAAGAATGGAATAACCTTGATATAAGTTATTAAAAATTCCACCTCTATAAGTAAATTTAAAACTAAAATAATTGATAAAGATAAAAATATACCCCCTTATTTCAACTTTGGCAAACGTAGAAATGAAATATCTCTTGCAGTGACTTAAATGGGCATAAACGTTTAAGGCATTTTTCGGACAGCCCCGAGTGTGATTGCGGTCATTCCTTCGAAGATACCGATCATTTTCTTTTTCATTGCTCCTTACATTCTGATGCACGCAAAATATTTATAAATATTTTACCACCGAATTTTATCAATACAAATAATCTGTTATACGGTGTAAGCAGTAATCATATTTCGTTAGCCATCTTTGAAAAGGTCTACATGTTTTTTGACAGCAGCGGAATGTTTTAAGATCAGGGTAACATCGACGCCTTAGAGGGGTTTCGTTTTCGTGAATCGTCGCCCCCCCCCCCCCAAGAACAGCAAGATGAGTAGCGGTTTGACCCAAGTTTCTAGTTCAAAATTCCACCCCTAAAATAAATATACCCAAATAACACCCATCCATATCACCCAGCCCATATATGCATTGTATTAAAGATATGCCCTGCTGTAGAATCTTGTCATTTCCATTCATATTATTAGTGGATCTTTTTACGTGTATAGTACATGCATAATATTTTGTTTCTGTTTTCAGAATGGTAATTAATTGGTGTAATTGTCGACGTGGAAAGTCAATGGGCCAAACGTCGATGGGGATAGTTCTCTCTAAATATGCATTGATCCCTACCAAGATACCTTCTCAAATAAAGAGTGACATTCGGTGTTCTAGAAAGAGTAAAATATCCTACCACATGCGCGACACAGTATTTAGTGTTCGGTTAACAAAGCGGAATTGTATCGTGTCACAGACAAGAATTTCTTCAGACCTTTAATCTTTAGTGCTAACCTTGTTTAAGATAACCGCCGTTAAATTGGGTAAGATTGATTTATTATACCAACATAATCTAGGCATTATAAAGTCATTCCCATGTTTAATACCCAACATAAATGACAGATATTAAGCCATTGTCATGAATTCTGATCACATCCGATCAGACTCATTTGGTACAGTGGGCGCCTTAAGGGAATTTCAATGACAAACGTGGTGGAATCAATGCAACTATAGAACGTCTGAAGTCCGATTAAAATATAAATATTAATATATGTATATATAAAATAAGTACGAGGCGTAATAAATATAATCCGATCATTTGGTACAGTTTGCGAAAGAATCGACATTGATTAATCCAAAATACTTAAATGGCATTCTGATAATTGAATAAAAGAGGTCCCAAACAGACCTAATCTTGCAAAAGAGAATAGATCTATATGTATTGTTATTGCCAAACATTTAATGGTTCCAACGTTATCACACATACTTCATCAAATACTTTATTTGTTCATCGCTAAATATGTTAATTGAAAAGATACACGCTTAGCATAAGAGTTGGGGTGAGGACGCTGGCAGACCACATTAGTCTACTTTGGTTGGCAAGGAAACTGCGGCTAGTCATTCGGATGGTACAGCAATAGGACGTTCCAGATGTGGAACACTTGTAAAGGGGCAGGGAGTACCGAACAAAAATGCCAACCCTAGCATTGGTCACGCAGGTCAATATACGATAAAACATTCCACTTATTTTATTTGAGCTTGACATATACGAGGGCTGGCTGAAAATTCATAGCCTGAAAAAGGTAGATCAATTGGGTTGAAACAACTTTTTGCCACTAACAAGTACAATCAGTGGATGAATCATAGACATAAGAACTGCAACTGTATGGTTATTATTGTCTTCGTACCAGACCATTTTGTGAAACTACCCATTGAAATCACGAGAAATGGACAAAATTGGCTATAGAACAGTCATCACGCACCTGCAACTGAAAGGACTTGCCCCAACACTGACACATGCCGACACGGTCTCCAGTTTAGGGGATGATGTCCCTTCCTTTTCCACAGTAACAAAGTAATTCTCCTAGTAATGATGACGTCATGTCAGCTGTTAACGACGTTTTTTTTAGGGTGGCTGAAGGATCGTTGGCAAAAGTGGGCACACCTCGAAGGGGATTATGAAGAAAAATAAATGGAAACCCTCGACTTTGTACATGTCTTTCAGCCATCCCTCATATATTTTGTTGTTTTTTGGATTCCTTCCAATCCATTTTGGTAGAGACCCTCAAAAGTTGCATCATGTAGATCTTGTAAATCCCCTTGGCTGAGTACACACAATGCTGCTAACATAGCCCAAATGTCTATACCCACCCCCCCCCCCCCCACACACACAGACAAGAATAATGTATTTACAATTTTATTTACACATAACATTTGGCCATTCTTAATAAATATGTAATTGAGTACATGCAAAATAGAGACTATAAAACAGACTTGAAATTATAGCGGAAAATCATCTCGTATTTATTACGTGTGAACAAAATATTTACATATATTATATTACCTACACAAATAATCTTGCACCAATAATAATAAAACCAAACATAAATTACTAAATAAATGATGTTGTATTTCAAATCATTGGGTTCCTGTCGGTTACAATTCAACAGAATATTCCCCTTAAAACCCTAGAAATTGTAGTCTAAGTTACAGGTGGCAAAGGAATTGTAATGGGAAATTAAGAAACTTCCGATCCGTTTGATAATTCTAGGTGTCCTTGTTAATTCTTGTTCAAAATAACCCGTGTTTTGTAACCATAAACTGTGTCGGGTAGATGTTTTCATCTTAGGTTCAAATTATCATCATTTAAAAACTCAAATGCACTCGAATACTGACCTTAATTCATTGCTAGTAGGGATTAGAATATGTCACCTGATTGCAATTTTGAAATACACCATGACTCGGTCTTCTAAACGGATACATTATGCCTGGCTCCTTGACCACCAGGGGTGATTTATTGCTGTGAAGGCCATGTGATATTATACCTAGATTCGTGATGATCTTCCCCGGGTATTCAAATACCATATAGTAGAATACACCGAGGGATTGTAGCTGTACCGCAACTCTTAGACTTCGTGCTCATATGGCTTTGGTCAGTATGTTTGGATATGTTTATATTTCTCGTGTCTAGAAGCATCTGACAGCCATAAGCGTATTCCTCTAAGCCAATAATTAAAATTGTCTTATTAAATCTGACAGTCATTGAGTACGTTTGTTAGACAAAGTAAATGGAAATCTTATTCATTATCCTTGCTTTCAGGTAGAAGTGATAGACTGGGAAGTTATAATCCAGCGGGGATGTTCCGGATTTGGTGTCTGGAGGACGGTGGCGGGGTTTTACAATTAATCTGATCAAAACAAAATAAAACTTAAAGCGTAATTAATAGTGTAACAAATTTCCAAAAAGATGTATTCTTGTTGTTCCAATATTTGTTATTGTCTTTATCTGAAAATGTCTTTGTAAATAACAACAGACATTTTCATATTGATCACATAAACAATAAAAAGGCAGTCAATACTTTTCGACAAATTTGATTTCAATTATTGTTTCACATTACATGAACTAGCCAGAGCGGAACATATTTTTGAGTTCAGCTCTGAAATTGTTATTAAGGAAAGCATATATGAAGGGATTCGCCACATTATAGATAAAATACATATAGAAAACAACCAAATTAAGCGAAACAAGTTGATGTGCCATTAACCAGGCTGGTAAAAAGGCAAAAATGAAAACAAGCGTGACTATAAAAAGCATAAAGGCAGTTTTAATGCTGGCCATTCTCATTCTCTCCACACGTACTTTCGACACACTCGAATTAGTTCCATTTGCTGTGTGATTCTCAGCTTGGGTGTCGTTACTTTTGTTTTTCACTTTATAGCCATTGGCGGTTTGACTTAATTCGAGGGCCACGGTGGCTTCAGTCTGTTCATTTTCAATGTGTGTGTTTTCTGCTGTAAAACAACAGCGGGTTGACTTAATCTGGAGTCGCTTCTTTCGTTTCGAGATTACAAAGCGATAAATGAGACTATACAGAACCAGCACTATGAGACAACAGATCAAGAACAGTGCAGAGTAAATCTTTTGAAACACCAAGAAAAATGTCGGATCGATAAAATCCTTGTGTGTTTGACATTGCCCTTTGTCAATAAAAGCTTTAACAGTTTTTAGAGGTGTGGGCGTGGCCGTACCGTTAACCGATATGGTCAGTGTACTGCCGATTGACGTTAAATTTTGTCGATTTGTAAAGCCTGTGGGATATGATGAATATTGCACAACGCTTGTGCCACCACCACCACTGAGCGTGAGCGCATTATCAACAAAGGGCTTAACGGTTGACGTAAGGTTGTCTTCTACGGTCGTCTCGTGAACAACCCAGGTCGTGTGGTGAACACAGGCGGTAATCCCTAACAAGAAAGATAATACCCCCAAGCAAACCACAATAATCTTAGCTCTTCTTATTGTCATTACATGTAAGAAAGGATGACAAATGCACAAATATCGATCAATCGCTATAGCAACCATAACAAATGCCGAAAATGGAATCGTTGTCGTTATCAGAAAATGGTAAATTTTACAAACGGCATCATCTATAAAATACTTTAGTGACTCTACGGCGATTGTGTAGGGGATGGTAACGAGGCACGTGATAAAATCCGTGGCAGCTAATGCCAGAATAAAGATGGTTGATGTTAATTTCTGTTTGAGGTTGTAAAAAACATAAAATGCCAGCGCGTTTCCAATTGTTCCAAATAACGCAAACACGGATAGAATGCCAATAACAGCCTGCAACTCCTCTACTGAAATTCCACCATTATCGTCGATCACAGTGTCGTTAACAGTCGCCATTATATTCTTTTACATATCTGAAAAATACAAGACAGGATAACTGAGAATCGTATTGCCGGAATCATAGTAAAGCAAAACAGCCAATTTCATGAAATGTAGTCATTCGGATCGAACTCCAAACAGAATAATTTTGTCGTTATGGAGAAAGAAAGCTACTGAATTTCGTTATTAATAGACTTATTTCTAACAACCATATTCGTTTAGGTTCAAAGAAAAATATAATTTGAAATCGCGTAATCTAATACCGACCAGATCAAAATAAAATAACCCGTTATACCATAATTTGAACATGTTAAAAATCAATCTAACATCAAACTAGTGAACCATTATTTCATCTATGCAAGTCCGCAGTATGACAAATTCTATAATCAGTTTTAAACAAATGTAATGAAATTGGTCGAGACTCTGTTATTTGTTTTTTCTTGTGAATGTCACTTAATATGACCTGGGATATATGGAAATTTGCCATAATTATTATAGCAAAAAGTAAGTTAGGGCTCGTAATTCAAATTGAAATAAGTAGGCACGAGATCGACTGATTGATTAGCATCTCCATTTCAGCGCATCGGATAAAAGCTGTATTTTACAACACACCGAACCCATCGCTTGCAGCTTGATGCTAAAGCTACTTATCCACTCGGTCACTCGAGTCCTTACTGATTAAACTACTTGTCGCCAAAGTACATTTCCTTGGAGATTTAAAACCCCCTGTCAATTGTATTAAAGCCGGCCAGATTGGAAATATGATATGCTTTTATCTATAAGCCCAGGCGATATGACAACAAATGAGAATTCCCAACTATAAATAACGATAACCATGTTATTTCAAGCAATACTAAATGATTAATGGTATAGAAGATCAGGGTGAGTTCTTTACTAAATGTACTGACACAGATATCCATGATTTACACCACGAACACTAGTTGGCTGCCAGAATAACAATAAAAATGAAGCTTTTGGGAAAAAAAACAATTTCAGGATTCTCTACTTCTGGTAATATTGACTCGGGTTACTAATTATTTTCATGTCTTCAATATTAATCTCTTGGGATATCTGGGCCAATAATGAATTAAGGTACTAAAAATTCTAGTTTTTTGTGAAAGCCTTCTTTTTATTGTCGTCCCATTTCTTTTATTTAAGACCAACAGGTGGCGCAACAAATTAATGCATGTGCGAAATATATAATCCATCAGAAAGACAGGTGGATATCATTTATGATTCTAAATTCATCCTGTGTCCACATCAATGAAGACACCCAGATCCCTGAATAGCAAAACAGTAAATTTTGGCTTTAGCTGTATACAGATTGTCGCATATTTTGTCGGTTACGATCACACCTTGTTGATTGTGGCTGCATGTCGTAGACCTAACTTTTGGCGATCTGAAAATAATTGAATTGAATTGCCTTTTGGATTTGTTTTATCTATATTTTCAACAATGTTAATCTTATAGATATTATATATAATACTTTGACATTAGAAATCGATTTTCATCATTATGTCCCCAATGCAGAAAGCCAATAAAACATTTACTTACTTAAATGGTTCAAAAATAAAATTATTGATTTCATTGGATTGAAAATTGACGTGTTCCACCGTCGACACAGACAAAAATTAAACTAAAATTAGTAAACAAATCGACTTTCAATTTAACATTCGAAAAAGAAATTAAACGCCATGGACCTTATTCCAATACACAGCAAATCACACTATTTCAACGTTATACATCCCTAAATTTAACAAACTAAGGACCGAAAGGAGATCTTTATAAAGTAATTCCTCGTTTAAAGCAAATAACATTGATGATATACCACCATGGACTCGGTGTTCATGGATAGCAATAGTATTGTGAAACCAATAGTATGTGAAATGAACTTTAGATTATCATTATTTACCTCATGTTGAGTTTGATACCTTTGGACTAATATGCTTTCTGGTAAGACTACTTTTTATATTGTGTATGACCTGAAAATACTACACTACAAAATTCTCGAACTCGAATTATACCATGGAATGTCAACCTAAATGAAATAAATATTCACGAGAAACAGTGTTACTGTTAGCCAAGAAGCTTTGGTAATAGCCCCAGGTTATCATTTTTAGTTGAAATGAAACCCTTACATGTGCAAGAAACCGCAAATAACATCAATGAAAGGCTGGTAATTACACCATTGCACGGAGCTAATTATTTTATAAGTGTCATTAAAATTTTGAGAAAAATATATTTCAGAGACATATTTAAATCTCAACGAACCCCTTTCTTCCCTTGGCAATGACCAAATGAAATAATAGAAATCTAAAGAGAAATTAATGCAATAATATATATATAAAATAAGCAAATAAAATCAAAAAACAATTTTTTTTTACTGAAGGAACTGGGCCCCCTTTGGGCGAATTAAGATATTTTAAAAATATACACTAGATATGCTTATGGTAATTAAGGGGATCACGTGGCTAAGTACTTTCAAGACCGGGGGATCACGTGGCTAAGTGGGTAAGACGCTGGCTCGCTAGCCTGGAGGTCGGGTGTTCGATCCCTGCATTGGCCGAGAAAGTTCATCCAGATTTTCGGCGTGGTTTCCCCTTGTCAGTGATGCAGGACGGAGGGCCTGACAAGGACAGATGTCTAGTCCTTCGTATGAGACGAAAAACCGAGGTCCCATGTATATATTGGAATGCACGTAAAAGATCCCCTGGCAGTTGGAATTCGATACAAGAGTAGGCGATAGTGCCGCTGCCCGGGCAAAATTTCCCTCATAGCACGCTGTATGGCGTGTGCCCGTCTTCATTAGCCCAGTTTAGGAGCAAAACAGTAGGACGTTAAACTCCATTCCAATTCATTTCATTTATGGTAATTATCAAGGTTCAGTTAAATTTTACGTTTAAATTCTGCTGACATTACGTATACATTTTGTTTAAGAGTCGCCTGGAAAAAGCATTTAACTCACCAATACATGTCATAATATGAATGATTTTTTAAAATTATTATTTATAGACTTACAATAAGAAAGGCAATTAAAAACGAATCAAGTATTATTTTTACACAACCACATTGCTGAAATCTTATATATGGTTGTCGTCTCCTTTTGCGATTTCGTTTGAGAATTAGGTTATGAAAACGTCATCGATTGTAAATGTACCTGCATGCAATGCCAATGTATGATTCTTTGAAATTGGAACACGGCCAGATGGGTGCCACTGTCGGTCATTTTTGATAAGGCACGAAAACTTTGCAAATTATCAGGCTTCAATTTATGGTAGGATATCGCGATTTCACGTGTCTATTCCACTTTGTCAGCAAGGTGCACACAAAAAATTACATACTGTACTTAGAAATGAAATATTAGTAGGGCTTATAATAATTATGTATTAATGAAAGATTCCCTTTTCACCATTTAAATAGCTTATTTTATCGACATTCCTTACTTGGTTGAAGATAAATAAAGAGATGAATTGGCCGTAGAGAAATCATGCCAGTAGCTCACATCTCACACGTATTACCACGTGCTCACCACAAAACGCACTGACCTTGATAATTTTGAGTTGTAGATTTATCTAGGGCATATTTCTTACATGCATCTGTGTAAGACTATCTCTTACTGCATTACGGATCACACAATTGGATCAAAAATTATTTTGAATGACAGACTTACATGGTTCAATGATTCGCTTGCGCGTATGAGTCTTTAGCAGGGGGAGGAAACAGGGGACCCGGAGAAAACCGACGAGGTTGGACATGCGACCCTACACCTTGTCATGTACAACAGGGGAATCGAAACCACACCAGTTGACTCAATGACATACCTTATGATACAGCGCACACGCGCTATCCATTCACCCCCCAACCCTTGCCTGGTAGCGGAGAAACCTGATGGGCCTAGTTTAAATCCAAATTGAATCCAAGCCGGGCGATTATCTAGTGTTGGTATTTGATTTTGTTTTCTTTTAGTATAAAATGTTATATATTTTATCAATTAGACATTTAATCACATGGCAAACCCATAATCAACCCTGTAGATCATCGGATGGTCAATAATTTTAAGGGATTGAAATTTAATTTAAAAATGAATATAGTCATTTCACTAAAAATATCAATATATCCCCCATTCATTATATATGTGTAAACTATTATAGCGGAACTGTCACTTCTTTACATAATGCAACTTTAATTCTATCGTTTGAAAATATTCATAATCATAGGAATAATCCAACAACAGCAGCCAGCCTACTTATTTATACCCTTACACTAATTAGATATAATTAGTCACCTGACTGCACAACTCATTAATTAATTACATGTACATTGATTGTACACATATATTTAAATATTGTAGAAAGGTTGTAATGTAATAGACACAGTGATTGCATCCATACCAAATACTATATTACTAGATATTGTAATGACTACAATGAATTCAGTATGTATATATGAAACCCGGTATTTGACAAATATATTTATAGACCTACCCAAACGCATCCTGTACCGTAAATAATGTTTCTATATTGTCTTTATTTTTAAACGGGGTAGTGTCATGAACTAGATCAATACGTTAACTGTCATGATAAACTGTAAGTCCTCCTTTAAAAGTAAATAATCCTCACTTTCGAATTGGCATCTTTGTATACATTGTTCTCTTACACTGGAGGGTCCGCGGCGGAAGTAAATTCTGATGCTGGGAAAACGGCAAAAACATAAAGTTTCCTGAAATTGTAGTTGAACGCCGGAAATGAGACAACATTGAACGATACTCAACGAATGTCAAATGAAAATGTCAGCTGTCATTTGGACAAAATATAGCGTTTTACCTTTCCGAATAAATAAGATTTTCGTCACATTTCCAACTGCGTAGTGATCATTAAAAACTAATCTAGGTCATTGATATATAGCTTCATCTGGTTTAAGTACCTTCTGATAACCGCATTAAGTTAAGAAGACGAACACACGAAAGTTCCACGTAATGTGAAATGTGAATGACATCTATTTACTCTTTGTTTCTATAGTTCACGGGGACGCACTATACACACCGGACCTAATAGATAATTGGTAAACAGCAAACACACTAAATTAAAGCCAAACGGTCGAAGTTGTTAAGAAGTAAACGAAATTTTGATAGAACCACACCATTTGAACAAGTGTCACACCAACCAAACTTATCCAGGCACAAGGTGATAGCTCGCCACGAAGCACGTCTCTAACCCGATCTCGGAACTAGACGTGGGCATGTTATCGAAAACATGGCGCGGAACCTCATACACATGTAGTTGCTGCGTACTAGAATAAAGGCTTCTATTAAAATATAACGAGCTTTCTTCAATGAAAGAAATCTGGGAATTATCTTTTAATATAATGGCAAAAATACATCTACGAAAACAGATGTCACATTTCCTATAAAATGTCGTGATTGTTTTCCCACAATTTTTTGTTTGTTTGAGCAGTTAGCATGTACAGTTCTAGATTTTTACAGAACTGGCACTTAAATACTTGATACCAAATTTTACAAAAGCTGATTGAAATCTGTGGTTTCCTGTTGATTGACAAGCCTGTGGGAGGCCAACAAGTTCACAATAAAATGACAGAATATGAAGGAAGGGGTGAAAATATTGGAGATTTGTGTGATATGTCCTTCATACAATATCTTTCTCTAGACAAAAAAGTGTTTGCTTATGAGGAAAAGGATATGCATGCTACATGAAAGTCTCACGAGTTGTAATAAAGAAAACGCTGTGTTAATTTAAAAAGAAAAAAAGAACTCGGGTTATTATAAAAAGACTCGTGATTAGGTCGATAGCTTTGATCAATATTCTTATTATAAATAGACTCGGCGAATATTTTTTGTCTACTCGTAGGTTGTTTAAAGTATTTGTATTATTCTGTACCATGAACGTTAAAGTTAATCATGGATACATGTCTTCTTATCAGGAATAATATATACAAAAGTACAATAAAACACATTAATGTCTGTTCCAGGAGATACCCCGACTCTAAAATTCCTCGCCATGTCTTCAGTTTTTAATTTAAACGGCCAAAACTTGATGACATACCTGAAAGTGTCATCCCGTTGCTCTCTTCGTCGAGCCTTGGCGCCTAGAGGTTTGATAAAATCCACTATTCTCTTGTAAATTTCACATATTTCGACATTGTTTCATTCTCAGAGCATAAATGTTACGAGTGCATCTGCGTAATATGGGAGACTTGCATTTCGCGTAAAGGGTAGACAGGTATCTCCAAATCGGGTACATTCGGTTAGAAATATTTAGTGAGGGAAAATTCGGGAGTTTGTTTTGCGGCAGTAATACTTATTAGGGTTTCACACTGTGAAGCTGTTTCCACTCGGGTTTTGAGAGCAAGGTCTGGAAATGTGACATTTTTATGAACACTTTATTAGTTTTACAGAGTATATTAGAAATATATTTTATCTAAATTTGCTTCATTTGGTGATACAGTTTGCAGCGTATATACTAAATAATAATTATCTCATTGACACAGAATCAACGACATAGTATACACAATGAAACTAGCTATAATAATTATTGATACACAATATTATTTTATCTCAATTTAGCTTATATGTATCTGGATAGTCCTCGTAAATGAGACGGGAACCGATTTTCGTACTCCTTTTTCTCGCAAATGTTACTATTTAATATACATGTGTAATTCTAAACATTTATATACACGTAGGGTTGATATATAAGATCAACCAATAATCCATGAATCATTTTGAATATTTGCCATTTCCGAGAAATAGGCAATTTTGTGGGAGTCACATTTCAAAAGAATAAAATTGTTCTAATTTGATAACATTTGCACCATTTGATGCCTACTGCGACTGTTCATTATTGTAACCTTCTTGTCATTAGAAATGACTTCATTTGCACGAACTTGTACTTTTAACCTTTATTAAACAAACTTTTATTTCAAATGCACCCGTTCCTTTATATTTAAATTTTAAATCTTTAATTCCACCCATCGAAAAGCACATATCAATGCGAACATATAGATATCAAAAGATAGTTTATAACTTGATGCAATTGTCCAAAAATACTTTTTTATGTTGTTTTGACCAACACATTTAAAGTGATTTTGAAAACAAAACCCCCAAAACAGTATATTTTCAGCCTTTAAAGAAAACATTTTTTTTTCTAAAGAGGTGTTATTGATACCCTTTAATACTGTTTACTAATTTCCGTTAAGTAATATTTCCTTCAAGCACATAATAAATTTCTTACTTTAACCATTGCCAAGAAATGGCCTATTTCGCATCGGTCACTTTGTAAGGGTTCCGCACGTCAACATGCTTTTATAATGACCATTTCTCGTAAATTGTTAACACGTGTATCATGCTCGTATGGAAATATGTTAATTGATGTCAGTTTAAGTATAACGGCTCTGGCGAAACCCGCCATGACAACATCGCAGTTATAGTTTTCTATAATTTTCTGAGCTGTTTCTAAACCCTTTTTTGCAAAATAAATGCCGGTGTTTTAATATTACTCACAGTTCATTGGATCATAGATTTTCATAGTATTACATTGCTACCAAATTGTTCCCCACAGAATATTTATTGGACAACAGTCTCGCATAACGGTAATGAATATCATTTTTGTGATTTAGGCACACAAGATTTGTTTCAGATATTAAGTCAGAAAAGACAAAACTGCGAATCCTAGACAATATAATCCCTTGAATACATGATTATTGTTATCTACAATTTATTATTTCGAGATGAAAATTACGCGAGATGCCAAGGAATGTACCAAAGGCAGAGTCTAAAGCAAACGAATAACTGTAACCCGCGATCAATATCAAAACGCTGCAGCCCTCAGGGACTATTAAATATTCAAATCAGTTGGACAAACAACTGTGGTCTTGGATCCCGTAAAAATTAAAGATATATCCTAAAGGGCCGAAACAACTTCCTTAATATCCAAGTAGACCGAAACGACTCAAAGCCAAACCAACGCCCCCGGCCCTCTCTGACTATTCCAGATATGTCATTATGTTTTAGCAGTTTAAATGGCAAGCAATTTTCGTGTCGTGGTATCACTTGGAACAGACAGTAGCTGAGAAATGGTATCAACTGTTCTAGAAATTAAGCACACACTGTCTCGTCCACGACCCCTACCTATAGCTAGCTTGAACATATCACAGTTTATTAAAATCTGAAAGCGAACAAACATTCTGTGTTCCGGGGGTATTACCACATTGCCTGGCACACCGATTTATAGTAGAAACAGAGAGAGAGAGAGAGAGAGAAATGGGGTTTAACGTCCACTCGACACAAACTAGGTCATTTCGGGACTAACATTTGGTTTAATTTTATTTACATAATTCGCTTGCGCGTAGGGGTCTTTAGCAGTGGGAGGAAACCGGAGGACCCGGAGAAAACCCACGAGGTTGGACAGGCGACCCTACTCCTTGCCACGTACAACCGGGGATTCGATACCACGCCAGTCGACTCAATGACAGACTTTATGATACAGCGCGCGCACGCTAACCATTCAGCCATCCAACCCCCCTAGTAGAAACAGGCTTTGTACTTTCAAGACCGGGGGATCACGTGGCTAAGTGGGTAAGACGCTGGCTCGCTAGCCTGGAGGTCGGGTGTTCGATCCCTGCATTGGCCGAGAAAGTTCATCCAGATTTTCCGGCGTGGTTCCCCCTTGTCAGTGATGCAGGACGGAGGGCCTGACAAGGACAGCTGTCTAGTCCTTCGGATGAAACGAAAAACCGACGTCCCGTGTATACATTGGAATGCACGTAAAAGATCCCTTGGCAGATGGAATTCGATATAAGAGTAGGCGATAGTGCCGGTGTCCGGGCAAAATTTCCCTCATAGCACACTGTATGGCGTATGCCCGTCTTCATTAGCCCAGCATAGGAGCAGAATAGTAGGACGTTAAACCCCATTTCATTTCATTTGTTCAAGACCGGTTCACTAGTGGTTACTTGAAGCCTAGGTCACATCCCCGCAGTACTTGTTACTATGGGCAGTCTACGGAGGAAAAATTAGTAAACCCGTGCGTGACTTGCGTATGTTCTGCACCGTAGACGATCGCAGACCGACCGTAAAGACGTTTGGTCCTGCACATACAAAATTACATCCAGTTTCTTGTGGCTGGTCTGAGAGCTGCCACACTCTAGGACCCGTGCGTGTCAAAACACATACGGCGGGTTGTGAGCTAGGCTTAAGATGCAATGGAATGCCAGCGGTAAGATAGCTATTTTTGTAGATGTATTCCGCCGATTTCATCATTATGTTCCATTTGTGTTTGAGAATGATCATATGGATGTGATTAGGGAAAATAATTTCAAATTATTCCCCACCCTATAAACTATTGCTTGTCTAACTGTATCTTGCCGGAGCAAACCATGAACTGCAATTTGAGATAACAACAGCAGACACAAATTCCCCCTGCTTAAGGCATATTTGTGACAAACAGCATTGGCAACATTGCGGATGAACGAATTGGCAACATTGCGGATTTGCAACAAATAATGAATGATTTAGATCTAAATATCAAATTCTCAACGTCCACTCGACACAAACTAGGTCATTTCGGATCTAACACATTGTTCAATTTTATTTCAATAATTCGCTTGCGCGTAGGGGTCTTTAGCAGTGGGAGGAAACCGGAGGACCCGGAGAAAACCCACGAGGTTGGACAAATATAATCTGTAATCCACGCCATGTTTAATTTATACAATTAATTGAGTATAATTTTTCCTCAAAAAATCCCATTGTTAAATTACTTAATTGTTGTGCCGCCTTGCTACCCATCGTTATAGCGATGATACGTTTGGCTTTGAGGATAACGTTTTTTGAAATTCTCTTATTACTGCATTCAGGATGTTTATCCAGACAATATTCTACGGCCTGAAAGCATAGGTCATGGTAAATATAACCATACATGTTACAAACATCCATGGTTACGAAAAAGTCGCCATCATTTAGATTTTGGGGTAATGTATTTACAGAATCTATGTCATCCCGAATAATAGATTTTACATTTGGCACGCACGGCTTAAGTTAACAATATAAGATTTTATAGTCTATTAGTAGGGCAGCATGGACCGACAATT